AGTTTTCATTTTGATCAGTAATGAACGGTCGTAAGAAGCAGGACAAAGCTATATTTCTTGATATTGAACTGATTATAGATGCAGTTAACCCTTATTTAACTTTTTTTTTTCAGTACACTCCACATCATCCCTACAGCTCCATATAACAGACTGTTGGAAATTAAGATCTAGATCAGCTCTTAAATGAAAGCGAAATGTAGGATTCAAAATATTACAGCCTAGCAAGTACTTTATCAAAGTGCTTGTTTACTATTCCACTTTTGTACATATTAGAAAAAGAATGTAGTTCCAGTTTTACTATGTTCCAGGTTTTATGATTGTAATTGATTTTTGTGGTGAAGAATCAGAGGAAAAAATAACTCCTTCTCTTTCTCTCTCTCTCTCTCTGTCTCTCTCTCTCTACAAGACAAGGACAATTTATTTGAAGTGAGGATAAGCAGGCTTGACACTGACTCTTCTACATAATTACAATATAAAACAAGCACAAATTGACTGTCACAGACAATAGTTGGATTATGCTACATAAAGCACGTTATTGCCTGGAAGGGTTCTATACAAATGAATAGAAATAAAGACGTTTGTGCACTCTCAGTGAAAGGCAGCACTGTAAGAGTACAGAGGACCTCTAAACAATATCAAACCCTCAAAAGCATCTATTCTTGTCATTCAACACATCACTGACTTACAAGTTGGGGAAAGCATATCGTTAGCTCTGGATCTAGCAGGTTATATCTAGATGTGTTAAAGTAAAAGTACGGTAAGCAAAGAATAACCAATGGGTCATTATTTATACCTAAAACTATCGAGGCAAGCGCCGAGGGACCCAAAACCCAACATTGCCAAAGGCAACCCCAGAGCAAAGGCGCCCAGGAGGGGCCAACCCAGGAAATCTGCCCCCCCACCAAGGGAAGGGGAAAGACGGTCCTGAGGAAATCCCCAAGCCGCTGCAATGCCGGAGCCTCTAGGAACCGCCGGGATGAGCGTGCAGGCTCCGCCGGCAGCCAACCACCCCAAAGTGGAACCGGCCATTGGCCCCGGGGAGCTGACGCCCCAGGGGCGCTCCGGCCATAGGCGGGAGCTCCACCTGGGCCTTAGAGGGCCAGGCCCTACGGAGCAGCTGCCAGGAACAAGCCAGCAACCCCCAGGGCATCTACCCCCCAAAAACAGGTCAACACCAATGCACCAGCGGGCCAAAGCGCCAGCCAGCGGAGGGGGACAGGATCAGTGCTCTGTGGGGGCGGGTCTTTGGCTCCTCACAACCACTACTGAGCATTTTTCCTTTGGATAAACTTTACATGCACAAGTGCACTCTCACAATTGCAGGTGCTTGGTTCCAGGTACTTAGAGATTCACTTCCATATAGGAATCCCATATTCTTATCTTCAGCTACCACAGTATACATGTCAGATTAAATAATACCACTTATACTTCAGTGATAGTATCAAGGTGCCACTTTATTGTATATCTTATACTATATTTGTTGGTTGTGCTGTTCTTTTTACATCTCTTTGCAGGTGATGAAGCAGACTGAAGACGTTTTATTATTGTCTCCCTTCATCTTTTCTCCTTTCTCCTGTTTTTCCTTTATTGTTCTACTTAAATTGCAATAAAGCTATTTATATGAGTAAATGATGCCGAATACTATGGCGATGGCCGTACTGCTCCACTTGTGAAAGCAAAATCTGTTGGGCCCTTTTTTGACATCAAGACAATTATTCTTATTGCCACATTGCCAGACAAAAAACATTAAAAAAAACTAATATGTTTGTGGTGATTTAATGAATTTAGCTTTATCACAAAAAAAAAATAAAAACAATAATTTTCGTAGCGATCACTGAGTCCGAGAACAGCCATTTTTGCCCAAATATATTAACACCTCACTCCTGACATCTTCCGGCAGTGACGTCATGTTGCGGTAAGCCTAGCGCCATTCTCCCAGCTTTACAAGCAAAATCAATGGGAGCTGCTAGACACACCTGCAATCAACAGCAATTATTTAAGATTACGAGGGGATTTCATAATGAAATAAACAAGAGCTATAATTAAACTTACAATGCCCACGTGCATGTCAGTTGGATGTTGTAATACATCGGGTAAAAGTGAAAAAGTTATTTCACCTTTCCAATTCATGATCCTCCACGGGTTCGTCGTTGGATTGCCAACTTGAAGAGGGAGTATTTGTCATTGAACTTCTGGCCACACCATTAATCCTTTACTCTCTGCTTCCCATAGTGCACCATCATGGATAATAGTGCGTTGTGACAAACACCAGATACAGCACTGGGACTTGCTAAACAGCCACTACCGCACCGTGACGTCACAAACCGTTAGGTGGCGGTAGTGCTCTTTGACAAACATGTCTCCGGCAAAGCAATTGAAATTACTCTTTAAAAACACTTATCATTTATGGAAAAGTATGTAATAATTTCATACTTAAAGTACTTTCAGAAGTTTGTATTCTGAATGTGACCGGATTTTCCTTTAACAGAGGCTGCTTCATCTGCTCGATGAACAAACAACAAAGCCTAATATGGGGATGTCAAACTTGATAAAAATCAGCTCTTTAACCTGTGTACCCTTTTGCACTTTCCTGCTAGAGGCTATGTTTGCATTAGCTTCAGTCATGCCTGTACATGAGCAGTATGATGGAGTTACTCTTCACCACATGCCAGAATGAAAAATCCCATCAGCTAGAGGTTATGATATCATTCATAGTGGGGTAGTTATTTAATGTGCCAGCTTAAGACGGATGGGTGGGAAAAATAACTTCGCGTAAATGAAAAAATAGTTACCGGTACATGTATTTTCTCTAAAAAATATGTATTTTTTTTTCTATTTCTATTAAGTGCAAACAGGAGAATAATGAAACTTCTGCTCTGCTTTAAACAAGACCTGCTCTAAGACGACTCTGATGTCCTCTCCGATGTTACAAAGAGCAGCTGAAGCACTGGTATTTAGATTTTAGGGGGATCAAAGTAAAACTCTGGGTTTATGAAAAAGGAGAAAATGTTTTTTCAGTCTTTTTAATCACATATTTAGTCCAAACCACATTTTTCTTCGTTCTTAGTCAATAAGTTATAAGTGAAATATAAGCAAAATAGAGGTGCCCTGATTCAATTTTTTTCCAATCCAATTCAATACCGATACCTGGAGTTATCATCTGTTGAATGGATGACCCATATATCTTGCCACATTAACAAAGATATAGGTGGGCTTTATATTATTTATGAACGAATATGCAGCAAAAAAAAAAAAGTTTCCATTTAAAGGGCACTAGATTGGATTTCCAATATTCAATATCAAATTCCCGATATCCGATCCAGCTAATTAGTCAATATCAGAGCCACTTTTCCGATCCAAGTATCAAATCAATGCATCTCTGAAGCAAAACCGTGTAGACATGCTAGTATTCACCTAGAACCTGAGCTAATCACTTTGAAAGAGTCTCTGCAGGAGCAAGATAGACATGGCTGATGGTTTCACCAAATCCATCGAAAACGTTTATTTTAACTGTTTAAAACCAGCAAATCTTTGGCTGAAGCTGCATATGGACAAAATGACTGCTGCATCTGTAATGTCTATGGCACCCGAAGTAACACGGGGAGTGCTGGCCTAGTGAACTGTAAAGTACCTTAAGATGACATGCTTTGTGAATTGGCGCTATATAATTAAACTGAAATGAATTGAATGGTTAGAGCAGTACGCTTGTGCTCAAAATAACCCATTAATTAAACAAAAAATACATATATTTTCACTCAAGTTTGTTATAATATAATAAAAAGAAGCACTTTAAATCATACACAGAAGCTTCTTCGATTTCATTGGATCTCAAGCACCGTTTATAATTATGCAGGAAAACTTTGTGGACTGCAAAACAAGTCCTGCTGCTCTCTGTGCCTTTCTGAAAAGGCAGTGAGTGCAGGAACACATCAGTCAGAATGCAACTAGAAGTCTAGAATTAGAGTTAACTAAACACTAAATCATGGCACAGCCTTCAACTATGTGTTAGCACACAGTGTCTGAGGTTTAACATCCGTCTCTGTTTCATTAACCCAGATTCAATGGGTGAGAACCATCCATCAAAGTCGACAGCGTCGGGTAATGAAACAATAAGAGCCTGTGGGTTTTAATCAACTCTGAAACACCCAAAAAGTGCTGTGTGTTGAGATTTTCCTCAAGTTTAACCACAATTCAGTTGCTTAATTAAAGCGTTTAGAGCAAAATACTGACCCTTGAACACGACATGGTTTTAACAAATTACCAAGGAGTCTTTCAGAGTTGTAAAAAGCTTAAACTAAAACAGAAACAATACAACCAAGATGTTAGTATAATTTCATATTAATACCATTAATATTATTCTGAATTATATGAATGAAAAACTAAATCTAGGTTTAAAATAAAGGGTCCATAATAATAATAATAATCAAAGCGGTGTATCTTAGTGCTTTAAATGACAAATTAATTTTGCCTAATTTTGGCACAAATGCAATTTTATCAGCAACACAACATAAACTGAATAAATTGAAATATAAAATCCAGAGGAGATAAGAGTCAGATTTTGCAGAGAAATATTTCCAATTCAGAAGGTTGTATAACAAATATGTACCCATTATAGATGCTGAGGTAGGTATCAGTGACTCTAGAGTTATGCTGATACGTGACGAATAAGATGACGGGTGTCAAATGATCCCAAAGGGAAGGACTGGGTAAATGACAAAGCAAATGAAAGGACGAGAAAATACTCACAGTCTGAATACCTAAGCAGCACAGAACAAGACAATCAATGAGCCACATTCAATGCATACAAGAGTTCACACGCCCTCTGCATGCCCTCTCAGTCACACACCTTTAGCACACTGATGTGCCTGTCCACACACACACTGTGGTGTCAGTTCAGCTGCTGAGGGCTGTGTTAATGAAGGATGAACCTGGGATAATAGGCTAGCACCTGTGCGTGAATTAGAAGCACACACCATTTCTTTTTCTATTTCCAGGCCTACCTCCAGCTGTCGCCTCAGCTCCTTTACATGAGCAGAATCCTGGGACACGTCTTCCCTCTGTGAGGCGTCGCCCAGGACAGTGACTGTAGTCTCTGCCTCCTGGAGCCACCTAAGGAAAGACTCCAACTCCTTTAGAGACACCTGGACCTCCTTCAACTCACTGTCCAACTGAGCACGACGGTCGCTTGCTCTGCAAACAAAACAACTTGTCAAATATGCAACAAACAAAGAAAACACATAATTATATAGAAAAAAAATGATAAGATGGTGGATTTACCTCTGAGTGATACTGTTCCAGGCTGCATTCTGTTTCTCTGTAACCTCTTTGATTCTCCTGGTGTCATCAGAAGAATACTCTCGTAAAAGGTGAGTGGAAAGCTCATTGAAGGCTGCGACTGTTGCTTGGTCTCGGCCCAGAGCTTGGAAAAACTCCTGTTTTTCCAAAAGAGACGGAAAATATATAAGGTTTGATTCACTGAATACAGGACTGATAGACTGTTACAGGAAAAGATGGACTGAGATACTGAAATGAAGACAGAAAATCAATGATTGGAGCTACTTTTTTTTTTTTTTAGAAAATAATTTGTTATGAAGAAATTAGAACAGGGAACAAATTCCAGAAAATCGCATATTTTCCTTTTCCTGAAGGAACCTTTTTTTCCCCTTCAACTTAAATTCATGCATTCCTGAACTGCTTTGGCCTAACCTCAAGTTCAATTATAACATAATAAAAGTTTTACTTATTTATCTGATCCTTAGCTTCCTGACCGTGTTTGTTCAACCTCTTCCCAACCCAGCAGATTATATAAGACGTTCATTTAGCATTAGGAAATAAGTCATGCCTATGTGACCAGGGGGGGTTCTGTTCTTCTGACTTTAAATAGACAATTACTCATCATGACTACCCTGTCCAGTGGGGGTAGGTGTTTATAAAGCAAGCTTTGTTATCTTAAACTCATACGCCCCCTAGTGTTGAGTTCTTAAACATCCGAGACAGAACTCATTTAAGGAAACTTAGTTAAGAGGATGTAGGTGTGTAAATGTTATTAAGGATCAAAGTGAAACTTCAGAGGAGGGATTTACTCATTCCCAGCTTAGCCTGCTCCACATTAACCCTCTAATAAGAGTTAAGTTTTGCTCCTGTCTATTGGGAAAAAAAAAAAAAAAACCTGAAGTAGAGGTCAGTCTACCATAGTGACAAGGACACGCATCAAAGTAAATGACCTCAGGAATTACACACATCCCAAATAATGGCTTAGACAAAGTGGAAATCTGCCCTAACCTTGGAGTCCTCAAGCTGCTTTGTCAAGGGATCTGTGGCCCGCTGGAGAAGGCTGTGGAAGCGTCCTTCATTTTGAGAAATAAGACCTTTCACCTCTTTCCTGTTTTCCTCCCAATGATTGCTGTGGACAGTCATGTTTTCTAGCTGATGGAGTCGGGTTTCGACGCCGTGCTGAGTGCTGTCCCACTGGCTGCGCACTTTCTCCACTACAGACAGACACAAATTATTGTTTGAAAGACAAACAGCAAGAGTAATGGTGCTGAACCTATCTATAGTCCTTAGTGTCTTATATGTAGTTAAACAGCACAACATGCTCTGTACGTACATTTCTCAGAAATGGACGTGCGGACATCGACGTTAGAGGTTTTGTTTTTGATGTTCTGTGCCAAGGTGAAGATGTCCTCCAGCTGGGAGTGACGTTGTTCTAAGTCACTTTTTGTCACCTGTAAGGAGGTAAAAACAAAGACATTACACAAGAGCACTGACTAATTATTTATTGGAATAATCTGACACGAATGGAAGTAGAGGACATTTTTGGAAGAAGAGTTACACTTTTTTCTGATAAATCACAAAAACTCTAAATAGATCCCTCGTATTACACAAAAATTATTTTCTAACATTAAAAAATTTTATTGCTCTATGCATTTGAGCTACGAAGAACGTTTTCCCTCTGATAAACCTAAATAAAATCCAAAACAACCTTTAAAAAGTCATTTAAACCACAAGTCTGGGCAAGAAAACCAATCATTATGTCATAAAATTAGTTTCTCTATGACATAAAAAATAGAATTTATAAAATAAAGGGCATGAAAATTTTTGGAGGTCACAGTATATTTTAATTTAAACTATGAACCCTCAAAGTCCTCCTTAAAGAGAAACGGTTATATATATATTTATATGTCAAGCTTCAGATGTTTCTTACATGCATTGTTTTCAACATCTACTTAAGCTGCAAGAAATTAGACATGGGATTTTATTCATTTAATTCTACAAAAGTGTCAGATTGTTATTTCAGTTTTTCCAGCTCATTTCCTCCTCTTTTTCAGAAAATAATGACATGCAGGGTAGTTGTTGGCTTTCGCTGCAGCCAACAAGGAAAGTTTGTCACCAGATTGACTTTTTCCCCTCCAAAAAAAAAAGCATCATATTAATTATTTAGCAACCAACTGGGTATAGTTCAGGCCCCCATTAACGGCAGCACAGAGTGTGAGGACGCCATGCTGCATTTACTGCCAACGGTAGAATATGAATACAATTAGTTGATGCAAGACCTGTTTAATGAGCATCTGAGAAGACGAGAGCTCAGCCGCTGAATGAGGAAAACATGAGTTGCGTTTTTATTGTCTCAGTGTGATGGCTAACAATTAAAATTACAGAAGCACAGAAGCTTTTCACCCATTTTTTATGACCAGGCAACTCAAGCTGTTCTCTTCTAAATCATGCTATAATTGGTAACGACCAAATGCATTCTCAAAACTTTATTAAATCCAATTAAACAGCAAAAACCAGCCAACACTGTCTGTATACTGAATACATCCTCTCTTCCTTTCACTCACCTGAAGGCGTCCTATGGTCGTCCTGATCTCCTTTGTGTCCCCCACAGTCACAATATTCGACTTGAGCATCTGAGTGATGAGCGTTAGCCAGTCAGCCAGCTCGGTGGCAGTTTTGTTCAAATCAGTAGGGGCCACAGTGTCTGGAGAATATGGGGCCCAATGGTGGGAATCCTCGCTTTGCAAGGCGGGCATCGGAACAGGCGAAGGGGCCGATGACACTGGCACATTAGCAAAGAGAGCAAAACTGACGTTAAATGGCATATTTAAAATTCATAGGAACATTTAGAAAGATGCTTTTTTTAAAACTGTGCCAAGCTAAATGAAGCCTATATATTGTCCTTATGTAATTATATGCAAATACAAATTCAGTCAATTTTCTGCTCATTGTTCTAGCCTGCTGTTCTAGTTTATGTTATGAATTTTTGGGATAGATTATGTTGCCGCAGGAAACTTTATCACTGCTCCCATGTTTCCTTTAAGTATAAATTGTATTTTTTTTTTTTTTTATCCTGATGCTCCACTGCTTTTTAATACTGATAGGTATATTTCTTTTATTTAATAAATGTCTTTATTTGACCAAAGACAATGCACAAATAAACAGTCTAAGAAAGAAGAAATATCATGTGCCAGGTTATAGCAAAAATGCTAATTTCCACGCGCAGTCCCTGGATAGGTTGATGTTATAGTTCATAAAATATATACAGAATAATACAATTGTCACTTTATTCACATCATAAAAGTACTTTCCACTCTCACTCACTCTCAGCTTACAGCACTCATATTACAGTCATTGAATGCGTACAGGTTTGCTTTGATAATGACCACTATTTGGTCCCACAATATCCTTAAATGCAGGCATGCGCTTAATTTTTTATGTTTTTTTTTTTCAATTTTGGGCACATACATAGTGTATTCATAACGAGTCCAGAACTTTTGTCCAACAACAGCCGAACTTAAGCATAATGCACGGCAGCGCAATTACGAAGCCTCAGTTAAAATTGCTCCTGAGGGGAGCAGCAATGCGCCCGGAGGCGCCCGGTCTACATAAAAACATGTCTTTGATCGCGGTATTAACCTAGCTGCTGTTTACCGCCCACCCAAAAGAAAAGAAGAAAGAAAAAGGGTTTGCAGTCGTAGTAGATTCAGATTCAGCGCCATGCCTGCTAGGAAGTTTTTTGGTCGTAGCCGCAGGGAGGATCCATCACACTCACCATGTCGCTCACCCTATGATGGGATAAAGTCTGGAGGAGTACTCATGGCTTCCTCCTGTGAACCCCCTTTTATACCAAAACGCTTAGTTAGCAACACGTTCAGCGGTCATCTGGAGCATGCTCATAACTTATACAAAGAGTACCCATAACTTGTCCAACGTATGCCAGCGTTTTTGCCAGATTTTTCGTACGTCCGACAGGGGCTTAAAAGAACGATTGTTGTCCAAATGCGGTTCTGTGTCTTCAAACGCCGCACTCTCCTCTAGCTGACCGCCGTGTGACTCTAGAACTTCTCTCCGAATTGACTGTAATTAATTTTCTCAAAGGGGGAGCAGCAATATTATGGATCATTTTAAATGGAGCAGAAATTTGTTGTTTTAATTATGTTCATAAATCGTTTGTTTCTCATCTTTCCATCCTGGATCAATATGTTGCTTTTTTTAAATGTTAACCCTACTTTATGCTGTCAATCAGGCAGGATCAAGGGGATTGTTTTTAGTTTTGTTGTGTCTGCAGGTCAGGCAGTAATAAGGTTGGGGTGTAGTCAATAAAACTCGACTTAAAATGTAATTAATCAAACTCAATTTGTGATTTAAAACAGACAGAAGCAAAACAAATAAGGTAAATAGGTTCTTAGACTATTTACTTATATCCTGGATTCATAGAAACACAATAAAAATTTTTCCCATTGTTCAGTACCAAGTTGCTGATGTAGGACGACATGTTGCTGCGGTGTCCACGGCGAGACGGGAACCTGAAGAGATTCCCTCAAGTGGCCATCCAGGGCTTTCCAATCAGCAGCCAGCTGCTCTACGTTACCCTGCAAAGAAAAAAATGGCAAAAAGGCAAGGAAATGACTTAGTACAGGAATTAGACCACATTAGCCCAAAAGAGTTATTAAATAAATATATCCTTTATGAAATCGATTCAATAGAAAATCAGGAACCTTTTCCTGAGGCGAGAGCTGTTGATGTTTCTGCAGCTCAATAGAATGAGCCAACAAGTCCTCCAGGTCCTTCTTCCTGTCTTTCATAGATGCCTCCAAATTCTGTGAATGTTTAAAGAAAAACAGTAGGTAAAAGTGTTGTGAACATTTGTGATTTTTGATGTAGTCTTGATAAAGAACCTGGGCTTGGACAGGATTCAGTCCTCTGGTAACAATTGTCTGGTTTGTGATGTCGACCCAGTCGGTCAGCTTGGTCATCCTGTCCTGGAAGAGGGTGTGACTCTGCAGGTTTGTCTCCACCTCCCCCACCTTATCTAGCAATTCATGGGTCACCTGCAGAGGGAAAGAAGTTAAAGGCAATAATAGCTGGGAAAAGACTCAAAAAGGAAGTAAAAAATAGGAGTTTGAAGGACGACATTAAGTTTTCTTATAAAGCGAATTGCACCTTGCTCCACTTGAGATTGATGGCTCTTAGTTTTCCAACATGATGGTCTCTGCTTTGAATGCTCACACCAGGACTGGCCAAGATCTGGGGAGCGTGTTTGTTCAGCCAACCAAGGCGCTCATTCTGAGCATCCATTTCCACAGCAAGGGCCTGCAAACAAAGACACACTCCACCATAAATTCTACAAAATTTACAAGTTAGGAAGAAAAAAAAAGAAACAACCAAGAGGTCTAGTAGTATTCACAGCATCTCTCCCAAAAGACGTGTTTGAATTGAAAGCGTTTGTCCACCAGAGAGAGAAAAATAAATAGAATTAATAAAAAAAAGTTACACTCAACTGTTTTGCTTAGAGAAGGAAATGATATTTGATGATATTTGTAAAGTGGAAGGGAAAGGATCCAAGGTTTTAACATTTTATCATTCTCCATATATTCAAACCCCCAATATGCATTTTAACAGAAGAACATTTTGTAGCGAATCAGTGAAAATGTATTTTGGGCCACTGCTCTACCAGCATAACAGACAGAGAACAGGCCAAAATCTGGTCAGTTTTCTTTGCTAAAAAAAAGTTATTAAAGCTTGAAGAACAATAGCGAACAAAGTTTTAAGTCTAGCCACAGATTTCCAACAGCTTTCCTATCTTCTGATCAACTCTGACCAGTTTCCGTGTCACTTCTAAAAAAAAGCATCGCTTAAAACTTGATGTTTCTAAAAAGTACAGTTTTGCATCACATGACCGAAGCATTTTGACTGTGTCCCTAACATGGCACCGTTACTAAAATAAGATTTCTTATTATCTTCTTTAAACGATAGTCAATGTCTTAGATTAAAAAAAAAAAAAAAAATCATCTAGCTAAATATTTATATAATGCTAGTCACTAGTTTAACCAGCAACATCTCTGTCCCCTAATGTTCAAATATGCTTCTGCATTGGGTTAGAGACGACCGTACCTTCAGCTCCTTCAGGTTTTCATCAGTGGCTGACACTGGCAGGGAGCCAACAGCGTTTTCTGCCTGATCCAGCCACACAGCGAGATTGTCACATCTCCTCACCAGGTCTGACAGGGCTGGATCCCCCCCAGTCAGCCTACACACACACAGAAACGTACGCATGCATGCAAAACATTACTGTGCATCCATTATTAGGATCTGCAGGATGCAGTTTTCATTAAAGAACACATTTAAATTATAGTTCTAGACTGCAGTAAAAGCATTGCCCTAGTAAACACAGACAGTTAGCTGACCATGAACTCTGGGTAAAAAGCAGCACTTTATTGTACATTCAGATCAAGGTATTGTGAGATTTGGATGGATTAATGTCACTGCATTCGCTTCATCTTACATCCAGCCTTTCTGTGAATACCTGCGCTGTCTGTCTAAGACCTGCCGGGTGACAGCTCTCCAACGTTGCACCAGAGTTTCTAACTTCTCTTCAAGTAGGGGCCCATCAGGAGATGAGAGCTGCCCAATTATCTTCTCCCCGGTGCGAGTCAAACCAGCCAGGATGGGCTGATGACTGGAAAGTCCTTCTTCCAGCTCCTTAAAGAAGAAATAAAGGAAAACTAGCTCTCAGAGAAACAGAATAATCGTATGCAGCTCATACTAAATCCTAAGCTCAAGTACAGCTCTCGAAGCAAATCCATTATCGACATGAAGAGATGATTTGAGGAGGTCCAGATTTAAGCTGCCAAATCTTCACCCTCCAACAGGAGAGATTTATCGAGCAGCGACAGCCCTGTAAAGTGAGGTGAGTGATTGTAGGGCGAGTCAGCTGTCGGATGTCTCACTTCCTTTCCACCTGATCCTCCTTCTCATCATTAGCAGCAGTGAAAACATGAAAAGTATCCAGACAGATTGAGCTCAGCTCAAGTGTTACACATCTCCCTGGTAAAGGTGGAGGTGCAGTAAGCGATAATAGAACGGCCTTAAAGGAGGTCATTTCTCGCAGAATTGAAAGAAGCACTTAAGTGATGAAGTAAAGTCAAAGGCAAGGTCTTTTCTCATCTTAATCTTGACTTTTTCCTCATTTCTCTTCTGCATAATCAAAATATAAAAAGTATGTTTATGAAATTCAGAGTGGAATTTTATTTTATTTTATTTTACCCATTAAGGAAAAAAAAAAAGTAAAATAAATATTCTGACATACTGTATCGCCAATCTGAGACTTTAATTGCCCTGTATTGAACTGTATTGAAAGTTGCTGACAGTGTGTCTCTAATGAAATTGTTGCCCCTTGAAGTATAAAGCCCCCGCCCCACGAACCGACCTCCTGGTGTTGCCGTGCAGAACCGAGGTCGAGCTGTCCGTCAGGGCCGACGCTTTCTAACAGCAGGGTCTCAGCTTCAGTCAACCATTGTGTCAGATCCTTTAAGTCACAGTGAAACCGCCCCCACTCCTCTATGGCACGGTCAAAACTCCTATAGAACAACATGAAAAACAAACCCAGAGTCATGCAGATGTTAGGAAAAATGTCATCAAGCTAAAAGTCAACATCACAGCGTTAGCAGCAGAGACTCCACTGGTTTGCACAGCTTTAATAATAGAGAAAATAAAACAAAACGCACAACAGACATGAGCAAATTAAATCTTAGGTTGTAGGTAAGCTTTATTTTCAAATAAGATTGCTTCAGAAAGTTTCCTTATTGGGTAATTTATTAATTTGGCTGAAAACAACTACTTTGGCACAAATTTCTCTCTTGTTAGTCACCTAATATGATCAAATGTAGAGGTACTAAGACGCTGAGTAAAATGAAGAAAAATGGATGTAAAAAAGCATATAGTTGGACTGAGCAAGAATAAACTGCTTATGAATTATTAGTGTTTGCAAAACAATACAATATAGCTCCATATAACTTCTTAGCTTCTTTCTTTCCTGTCAGGTTTCAGAGCTTCACACAAGTCCACCGTCTGAGAACTAAATCTGGTTCATTTAATGGGAAATCATAAAAACTGATGGTTTAATATCTATAAAAGAAATCTATTAGACTCAGGAAGGCCTGAAACCACCCAGAGTCCCCCCTGTAGTGTCGGTGAATATTAAATCTAGACCAGTAGGATGTTAACTTGAAAAAGAGAAAAATCTGAGCCTCATCAGCATCCTCGTTTTGCAGAATCTCTTTGAACAAAAGGGATGAAAGAGACAAGCTGAGGAAATGAGCTTTTGATGAGCTGGTTTACAAATCAAGCTCCATTCTTCTGATTTGCAGGGACACCCAGAGGTTTCTGTGATTATAGGCTGAGAGCTTCAGTGTTTCCATGAACATTTTCTCACTAGCTTAGATAAAAGTTTGCTCTCGCTGCAATCAGCAAACAACCACTGTCATTGAAGAAATCAGGTTGATGATGGCCAATGTCACCCACTATCATTTGTGTACTTATGGGAGTGAATCTGTGAACAGGCATTAGATTGTTTATGCTGAAGGAGCGGCTTCAGTATGAATGAAGGTCAGTAAACGCGTGCTGCATCGTATACTGTTCTATATTTATCTGTGGACAGCTGGCCTTCCATTTCCCTGCAGATTTCATCAAAAGCCCTGACTCAGAGGTTCACAAAGCTTCTCGATTTCCCGGTTTCTTAATTTTCTCCTTCATCAGTTTTGAGTTTTTCCAATTGTAAGTCTATATGTGAAGTTAAACATACCCTTTGCGCTGATTGTACATGCGATTGAGTCGGTCCCACTCCGCATTCAGCTGTGTAAGGTTGTCTCCTATTTGAATTACTTCATCAGGGGATGCGTCTCGCATGGCTTCAGGCTGCCGTTCATGGATTCCTGTGACCTGCTCGCTTAGATGCTCCAGGTTATCTTTAATTGTCTGGGGAATAAATGTATATATAACAAAAATGAGGAAAAAACACAAACATTCAGCAGAAGAACACATACGTTTAGAAAAAAACAGCAGAATATCATCTGAACGTTTGCAAAGCTGCTAAGTTTAATGTATTCAAATAAGAGTTTATGTAACAAACTAACAGAAAGTGGTGATTTTTAAAACAACATCTGTATCTGTTTTCAGTTTTTTGTCAAATATTTTTAGCTGGCAGTATTTTGGAATAATGTCCACCTTCAGAGTGTCCTCCTGGCTTGAAAAGTCTTCATAAAGCCCCCCGCTAAGCTCGGAGGAGTTAAGGAGCAGCTCATTGTCGGCCATAGTGAGAAGAACTTTGTTGATCTCCAACAGGTAATCAGAAGGAGAGAGAATCTGTGTGCTGCTGCGCCCTGTTGCACCCGGGCCCTGCATGACACAGAAACAGAAGGAATCAGTGGCTCATAGTTCTTCCAGAATCAGCGTGCTCCGACATCAAGTGGCAGCTTCTGATATGGACCAGTGGGTGGTTTCCCAGGGTGGCTTTAGAAAGACGGGACACAAGCATCAAACGATGATGCCATTAGCTTTTTTTTTATTGCTTCATACTCCGTGGGGAGTTTGGTCCCCTAAGTGTTGAGCAGATGCCTTCTGCTTGCCGACAAAAATAGGGGAATTAGTTTAAATGCTTTGTGAGATGCAGAACTGGTTCTTTCCTGCAATTTTACAAGGCCAAATTATAATTTACAAAGATGTTAGCAAAGTAATTAAGACTAAAATCAGGAATATATCTATAGCACTAGAAAAGAACCGAGCCATAATATTAAATCTATAGGGAGAAGATAGAGTAAAAGAAGTAAAAGAAGCTCTTTATTTCACCAACAACTCCTTCATATATGTAGATATGAGCTGCTATGAGATTTGTCTCATATGCTTTTACTGAAAATACCACTGATTTATGGTGCTGGGCCAAAACTCTGAAAGCAATAAAGTATAAAAACAAATCTATGACAATAACTCCTGCTAATTTATCACATTTGTTATTCCAGATATAATAATAGTAACATTTATATGTTACTATTATTACAGATATGATATAAATGTGCCAGTCCTGTTTAAATGCAAAAATACAGACTAAATGGGAACTTAATATATAAACCGCATTGTGCATATCTAATATCTAACCCATAGCCTTTTGATTAGGCATTGAAACTATTTTCAAAGCATGACTCTGCATCTTCTTCTCAACTCTAACAAGTTTCAAACAGCTTAATTTGTAAAACAAAGAAAAGGCTGTAAGATTTTTTTTCACAGACAGTAAATCTGATCAGTTTTGAAACCTTACTGAACCTTTGTAACTGTAATTAGCCTACGCCTATTGAAAGCGCTGCATGTATCCGTCACTTACCTGCTCAACAAACTCAGACTCTGATGATGAGCTCTGAGACATTGTGACTTCCCTAACTCTGCCCTAAAGCAAGCAGAAACACAAACAAGATAAAGTTTGCACATAGATATTTAAATAGCATAGAATTTACATTTGTAAAATAAAAGAAGGGATCCGTTTATTTGTCTCACCCTGTAGGAAGAATATTGGCTCTGCAACCTGAGCAGCATGACTCTCAGCTCCTCCCTCTGAGTTTCGTCTGAAGTTTGCTGCAGCAGCTCTTCTCCTCTTTGCAGCAAACCCTCAACGTTGGCCTTCTCCTCATCCATCTGGTAAATGGGAAGCAAAGAAAGGTTTTGGATTAAGGCACTCAGATTCCTGCCAATTCAGTTCAGCTCTTTAGGCTGCTATGAACGGATGAAGTTTAAAGCGCTACAGAAGATCCACTCAAGAAAACAAAGCGCTTCCTGACTGGGGACAATGACCTCCGCTTGGATCGGTCAAGTTCTTTCTCCCAGCTGGTGTGTTTACAGTCATAAAGGAGTTAAACCTTGATGTTCTCAATCAAAGCAGGCCTTATCAGATGGCAGCCTTACAGTATATAGCCTGTATTTCAGGTTATCCTTTATAGCACACATCATAAAACATAATAAAGAGGATAACTGGGGTCAAGATTCCTTCTTGGTGCTCAAAATACACAAGAAACCTTACAATTAAATTTCCAATCAGACAAAGGAAATGCTTCTATTAGGGTGCAGAGTGATTTAAAAATGAAATAAATTATGATAACATTGGGTACCTCGTCATCATCGAGGATGTTTACTGGGAGCTGCTGCTGATGGAGAGTCTTCAGCGTGTTCTCCAGCTCTACCTGAAGGTCCTTTATCTCAGCAGGCTCAGGCTTAATTTCAGCCTGGCTCTCCAGACTGTTAGTGACCTGATTTAAAGAAACAAAACAAAAAAAACAGAGGGTATGTCGAGTTCAAGTTCGAGTTGCAAACAAAGGAGTATTTATCTGACCAGGTCCTCGAAGAAAGGGACATTTCTGCTAAATCAGAAATTAGCCAATTAAATCATTAAAACCCATTTTAAACAAAGGTAGATTTAACTTCTGATTGATTTCCAAATCCCTGGTCGTCATCTTCTCAGAGTAAAAAAAAAAAAAAGGAAAACTGGCAAAAAAAAAATGACATCATTTAAAGATTAAATCTTTTATGAAACATGCCTCCTCTTTCTGTACCTGCGCAGACTTTATGTGCTGGGAAACTTTGTCAAAGTTGCAGTTCAGCTCTGCCAACTTGGGCTCAACTACATCTCGACAGGCGGGGCCCCTGCTGGTCATCAGGATGATTGCTTGGTCCCTGACGTTGTCCACGCGCCGACCAATCATATCCAACTCCTCCATCATCCTCTGAGAACAGACCACAAACTAGCTGTTCATCTTTTTATCAGGCAACAGTGGAAGTAGGAGCAGAATATATAAAATATTTAATACAAATATACAACTAATGCTAAGCTATTAATTTTAATTCACATCGGGTAGAGAGGGAGAGCTAACTGGAGTTTTGGGGGAAATTAAAAACAATGCCTTCCTTTTTTGAGTCAAGCTGAATCCCAAACCACCCCTAAGCACTAACCCTTAACTATCAAGTGTCACTCTCAATGAAGTCTCACTCGCAGCTTTGAAAGGTACATTGATTGAATGTGGGGGGATAAATGAGAATGGAATGGGTCCTTTCCTCCAACGGAAGAGGAAAGCAGTTGTTGCTATGGCAATACAATGACGCCCCGTGTGTGGCAGTAGCTCTGTGACATTAAATATAACATTTGCCCCTTTCTTAAAACAAATGTATATGGTCAAATACAACTATTTATAAGAGTATCCTCCATTTTGGGATTAATTATGTGTTTTTTTCATAAACTAACTTGTTATTTTCTGTGAGTGTGAGGAAGATGCAGCAAACCAGCGGAATTTACATTTTAGCAGAACGTATTTCCTTTGCTGCCGAATTCCAGTGAGTCCGTACTTAAAGGGATAGTTCGGTATTTTTGACATGAATCTGTATGGCATCCCCATCACCAGTGTCATGCAATCACACTGACTTACCCCTGGCAGCGTCCTGTGAGCAGAGTTCTCGTCCAGTTTTGGTCAAGCCGAAAGTAGTCCGGCAGGTTTGCTAGAGCCAGCGAAATAAAACGTTTCTCTTCCCAAAACATTATGTGTTCAAAAGAGTGATATTTTTGCATCCCAAAAACGTTGTAGTGGAAAAAGTCACACGTCGTTATCACTTGGTCCTATTTTCTCTCTGTTCGTATCAGTGCGCGCCGTCATTCAGACAGCTAGGGCCTACTAACCTGACAACAGCCAGATGCATGTCTCCCTCCGCCTAGCTCCTAGCTGGGCGGAGGGAGACATGCATCTGGCTGTTGTTGAGCTCGCTGTCTGAATGACGGCGCGCACTGATACGAACAGAGAGAAAATAGGACCAAGTGATAACGACGTGTGACTTTTTCCACTACAACGTTTTTGGGATGCAAAAATATCACTCTTTTGAACACATAATGTTTTGGGAAGAGAAACGTTTTATTTTGCTGGCTCTAGCAAACCTGCCGGACTACTTTCGGCTTGACCAAAACTGGACGAGAACTCTGCTCACAGGACGCTGCCAGGGGTAAGTCAGTGTGATTGCATGACACTGGTGATGGGGATGCCATACAGATTCATGTCAAAAATACCGAACTATCCCTTTAATGAAGACTCACTATTTAAGGGCTGCACGGTCCACTCACCCTACCCATTATGTGGTTTGGGATGGCACTTATGTGGCAGACCCTCCGCAGGAACGAGCAAACAGAGAGTTTAGGAGCCAGTTTGGGATTGGGCCCCAGTCTAGGATTAGGAAAGTATAATAGCTTTCACTGTCTGAGGTAACTGAAGTTCAGATTTCCACAATTACATTTGGCCATTTCAAAGAGATGTAGTGAAAGAAAAAAAAGCTTGTAAATTAAAAGAGTTTAATTTTATGCCCGATTGCTCTAAATTTAAATTTTTTAATTACAGAATTAACTCAGTATATTGTTGTATTGGTAAGAGTATATTTTTTTCTTGGACCCTAATTTTGTAATATATATATGTATGCTTTATACTTGGGTGTGTGATTTTTGTATGTTTCACTTTGAAAACTTAATAAATATATGTCTAAAAAAAAAAATTATTCACTCAGTAATCTGGTGTATACAGTAAATGTTAAAGTTGCCAATAAGAATATAAGCTTTTTTCAGCATTTGTTGTTTCACATGCATGTCAGCGGTTCATTTAGGAAAAGATCCAAGGGGAAAGAAAAGTGTTAAAATATCTGAGCATATTAGAGCAGATTTAAAGTTCTTCTTTGTCCCTTTGTGGGTCCAGTTCCAAATGTAGCACTTTTTTTTTTTTCTAAACCAAGAAAATAGCAAAACAAATTAAACCCATAAAATTTAAAATGTTGTAAAAATCCGTTTAAACGGGCCAATAAAGATTCACAGATCCTTTTTCTACAAAATTAGATTACCTTGTTTGATCAATTAAATTATTTATTGTTTTTTTGTAGTTGGTTAAGGTAAAAAAAACAACTAAAAAAACAATAAAATTTGAAAAACATTCATATGTTGACAATTATAACCTCCTCAAGGAGGTAATATTTTAGGGTCATTGGTTTGTCAGTTAACAAGTTTAAGGGGAAATCTATAGACTTTGAAAATGTGCTGTTTGGAGGATGTCTGTGCTCTCTAGTTTACTATAATCTCCTTTTTGAACCCTCTCTGTAACTTTAACCAGCTTGGAATAAACATTTGGATACAAATGATTTTATAATGTCATTCTAAACCGCTTTAGGTAATTACTTTATGTGCCAGTTGCCGTCTCACCCAGATAGTGACAACGCCTTTGGTTTCAAGAAACAACAATCATACCTTGACAACTCTAGTCTCATGTCATTTACATAAAACGAATGAATCAATTAACAACCAAATATCTGACCAAAACTTTTTTTTTTCCTTTCAAATATTGAAGTTGGACAAAAAAAATAAGATACTGTAGGAAAAAAATAATAGAAATGATCTTATGAAAGAGTAAAAAATACGTCCTTCAATGGTTTTCAATATGGTAAAACAGTTTTAGAGAATAATTTATTTTATTTTACATTCAACATTTTATGAAAAATGTTTCATTTTCAATTTATCCATGGAGTAAATATGTTTCATTTAAGGCTGAGACTGAACATGTTAATTACATCTCATTAATTCAAAAGCTTTTGTTTTATTAGATTTTATTTTTTAAATGGATCATACCATTAAAAAAATAAACATGAATCTATCAGAAAAAAAATACATTTTACTCTTAATTTTTACGCTCTCAATTGAGGTATAAATCCACTACCTTAATTGATCCTACACCAATGAATAAAAGCGACACAATCTTAATCTTAGTTAACCAAATCATGACATGTTGTGTGCACCATTTAAAACAAATCCCAATCCTCCCATAAGACTTGTACCAGTGTGGTATATTTAAGACACCATGTTTATGCTTTGCTCTTTACCGTGAACTCTTTTTCCCTCTCAGCAGGAGGCAGCCGCTCGGCTTCATCCAGGTGGATCTGGGTCTGGTAGAGCCAGGTACTGATGTGAGCCAAGTTCTCATCAAATATCTCCACCTCACTCTGGTGACTCTGCACACACAGGCACACAAGCAAGTAAAACTCTGATTACACAAAATAAGATTTAATACAGGACACGGAACAATTAAAGCATTTCTTTTATGTTCAGTTTGATAATAGAGATTAAACTGAATCCATACTTAGATATTTTATATATAACCTTTAACAAAGATTATAAAAAGCAGCATTATTATTAGACTGATATCTTTCTTTAGATATAATTTAGCTATGTGTTTTACAACATTAAGCAATTAGAGCACTTTGCTTATTCTAACAACTTAATTAAACGTGATGGCTGTCATTCATAATTTATTCCAGTTGTAGGGAACGTTTGCTCTAACCAGAACAGCGCTGAGCCAATCTTCAGTCCAGGTGTGAACTTTCCCCCAGGATTCGTTAAGGCTGCAGAGTTTGCCCTCCAGCTGAGCCTCGCTGCCCTCCACCAGCGTCTGCAGACCCGCACTGACCTCCGTCAGGTTGGAAAGCTCCACCTTTCGACGTTCTGATTCCTTCAGCAGACCCTGATTGAAATGACAAAGAAATACAAGAACTTAACTAATGATAGGAGTAATAAAGAATCCAACTTTAATATTTAAAAAAAATAGCTACAACATAAAAAAATCTCAGTAGGGATTTTGACTCCTGGATATTCGGATAGATTGTTTGCATACAGCTAAACAAACTTAAGAAATGAAAAGTTATAAAAAGAAAACGTTCAGGATTCAGTTATTAACAGTTTGTGTGCTCCACCTTCTGGTGAGTCAAAGAACAACACTTATTTGTTATATTTAGCATGTTTTTTTTTCTTTACAGAAAGTAATTAAATTTTGAAAATGAAGATTGGAAAACAAAGGATTAAAAGCTTAGAGAAAGTCTACAGTAGCATCTGCTTTAATAAACATCCACTAACATTAGCCCATCTAATCTCAGCCTCGATGTCAGCTGGCATGTCTCCACAGCTGTTCTTCTGCTGGAGCTGGGCTTCATTAGTGCTCAGCCATTCCTGCAGGGCAGCAGTCTCTTTATGGAACCTCTGAGACAGAGACAGAGCTTTCTCCAGGTCCTGTTTGCCCTCAGTTACCTGTGAAGACAAAGAAAAGGCCTCTGAACCATCATCAGGGTCTGAGAAATCTCCAGATTCAACTTTTTATGGTTCTTTGTCCCTTAGGTTCTTCTTAAATATAAAACTATAGTGACATTTGATTTGTCTACAGATGGCAGGACAAATAGATGAAAAGATGGGTCATAAAAATGTTAGGGATCTTGAACACAACCAAATTTTGGTTTTGTTTTTTTGAGATGAAGTTTGGAAAATTTTAAATAACTAAATTACCTGAGCCCCCAGTTCATTATAGAGAAGTTTCAGAGCTGTAAGCTGTTCATCCATTGCTTTGGGATTCTCAGTCTGCTGTTTTTGCACAATCTGGCGACCTGTTTTTATCACCGTCTCCACCTCCAGCTTCGCCTCACTCAGCAACTTATACATTTTCTATAAAAACAAAACAACAATTAAAACCTTTCATATTAAAAACACACATAAAGGCAATGCTAGAAGCTAACATTCACTTAAGTAGCAATAGGTCTTATTTGTTAAATAAATATTGCAATGTTTACATGGCAAACTGAAATTAAGAAACATCTTGAACAGTTTTTAAAACGGAAATTAGCTGCAAAAGGTTCAATTCAATTAAGTTTATTTATATAGCATCAATTCACAACACATGTCATCTCAAGGCACTTTACAGAGGTTCTGCTTAATGTTTATTTCCTTTAACCCATAGGAGTTCAGAATTATAAGTAAACTAAAAGTTGCATTAATATTTAAATAAATTAACTGCTGACCCTGTATCAATTAGTGGAACCATAAATATGCTAGAGGGTGTATATAATCTTCTGTCTACCAGTGGGGTTTTTTTAATGAGTATAATTCAACTTCTTTACCATTTGCTTCTTGTTAAAAATGAGCAGAAAAAAAAAACTTTCTATAAAAGGCTAAACAGTTGAAGAACAACACTAAGAAAGCGGATGTTTCTCACCATGCAGCCACTGAGGTGGGACTGGATTATCTCAGGTTCCACATCTTTAACCTCCAAAACATGTAGCTCAGCCTTAGCACCATCCAGAACCCGTTTACAGTCCAGCATGCGCTGCTCAAAGTTGGCAGGCTTCTGGAACAGCTGATACTTTGTGGAGATCTCCCTCAGCTTCCTCTGTAGAGATTAAATCAAATGTTAGCCAAGCTATGCTAATCTTTTGTCTTTTATCACCCTAGACATGAAAAAATAAAAAATAAAAGCAACATTTTGTTTTAATGTTGTGCATTAATAAAGCAGAAAGAACAAGCTTTCCCAACATTGTCCAGTAGGAGTCAGTGTTACCTGTAGCTGTTCCAGCATGGTCCCACCACGGGCCACTTTGCCTTTAGCGGTGGGAGGAGGCAAGTTGGTCACATTCCTTCTTTTCATCTCCTCTACTGTGACCTCATGAGCAGCGATCTCTGCACCGATGGTCTGAAGGAAAAGGACACGGTGAGCAGGGAGGAATGGTTGGAAGAAGGTTCCCAGGAAATTTCTCAATTTAAATTGGGATTTCTAAATTTTAATAAACAGGAAAACTGAAAGAAAGAACCAAATTAAATTGATACTTCATCTATAGTGTTTGTTACTGTTCACACAAATATTTCAATTCAAGAGTTCCAGGCTAAAAAAATACTCAAGTTTGGAACGAAAGAGCTTAGGACAGAAGGAAAAATAATTATTAGATAAAAGAAAAGAAAGTCCAGTCTGGAAATATTTATATTTTTCATATTCATGCATAATTATTAAAAATTGGAAAATACTTTTATCATATTTCAGGTTTTTCTAGACACTGTAGGAACACTGCATCTCTTTCATGATTCAATTTCTTAAAGGTATGGAGGACGATCTTATATTTCTGGGTGGATCATCCAAATAAGTGGTCCTCCTAATTGTCAATCATTCTGGTGATATGTTAAGTAAGGCCGTCCTACGTGCTCATCCCCAGTTAGCCATCTTTTTCTGCGCACTTTCTTCGGTGAGCGAGGGTTTCAGACGGTCTTTGGAGCTCACCTTTCTCACAGCGGTTCTTTGAATACGGCAGAGGGTCATAAGAGAAAAAAGTTTCTACGAAGTGTATGAGAAGAAAAGAAAGGCCTCAGAAGAGGCAGATATATCCTAGAATGCTTTGCGCAGAGAGCTCTCCTAGCAAAGCATTATGGGATTTGCTGTCACAGCGACCGCTGTCGCCATAGGCTGTTGCTACCTGACAGCAGCGACTAATAAAGATGGCGCAGGCACAGTGCAGTGGAGGAGGAGTTAAGTGACCAATGGAGCAAAAAGCAGTGATTATTTGTCCATTTTGGACTTTATAGCAAACTCAGTTAACTTATCGTTTAAAGTCCCCGCTTTATATAGTGATTTAGGGGTTTAGGGGTTAGGGCAGACACTTGGAAACAGTAAGCTTGTATGAGCTATAAGAACAGCAACTTTAAAACAGAGCGTGCACGAGGAGAAATGGGCTTGTGCATGCTCTAGCACGCGTTTAAAAGGTGTTCCCTTTCGGGAGCGGGTATAGGGTTCTGCATGTTCATTTTTTTGTTTTAAGTTAACAATACTTTAGTCCAATTTAAAAGGTATAAATACCAAAGATTAATTAGTCTATGATACTCATCTTTACCATAGATTAACTGGCTTCCAATGTGGAAGAGAATGGAAAGTTTTAAAAAACAAAGTCCTCCAAACCCTCAATACACTAAAACCTCCCAATTTCTCAACAGTGAGAGAATCCAGAGCCTATAAACAGAAGCAGGCTCTGTGGACCTCACCTCATTTCAGGAGCTAATAATGTGTAGGTGGTATACCTGTGCCTCCAGGGGGAGCTGGAACGCGTCTATGCGATCAGTGAGGTAAGAGGTTAGTGTGTGGTCCAGCTGGTTCAGGGACTCCTGCAGCGCTTGGAGCGCCTCCTCGTTCTCCTTTAGTGTCTGCAGCTGCTGCTCGAGGCCGATCTGCCGGTTTACCGCCTGAATAATGACACGAACAGCAGGTCGGGGCTTTAAACTATGTCCATCAGGGATTTTAATTAAGATTTACTCATTTCCGCTCAGAGCCTGTGTAATTACCCAAATAAGACTCGGCTACATAAACATTAAAAAAAGCTTGGAAGCTACGATGAAAATATAATTAATTAAATCTTTTATTTTTTTTTTTACAAGAAGGGTAAAAGGTGTGATCAATTCATTATATATAAAATATAGAACACAGACAAATACCTGTCAATGCAGAAAAATATCTTTTTAAAGTTTATTTATTTTAGTAGGTCATATTTAAAAAAAAAAAATGTAAATTAATTCATTACAAACAGATGACTCATTTTACATCCTGGTATTTAAAGTAGGGCTAAAACAATCAGATTAATCGTGGTTATTGGAATTATTGTCAACTAATTTAATCATTGATAAATTGTTAACTGGAGTATAGAGGCTCTAAAACATGCCTTTAGCTGACAGAGTGACCCACTTAGAGCAGTAATTATACCAAACTTAAAAAAATATTTATATATACATATATATGTAAAGACTTGCATTTAAGATTTTTTAAAAACTTTTTCGTCCATCCATATGCTTTATCCAGAACTGCTGAAGTGGAAAAGTTGCAGTTTCACCTGGTTTAATTTCTTAACAAATCTTCTTTAAGGAACATTTGGCTATCCGATTATTAAGCAATTAATTTTAAAAAAAAATAATCGACAGATTAATCGATTTGCAAAATAATCTTTAGTTGCAGCTCTAATTTAAAGTTATTCATATTTTCAAAGTTTGTAAATAACAAAAAAAAACTTGGAGGGTTGATATGTTGTCAGAACCTCAGAAGCCTGAGAAATGATGGTAAAGTCTTTCTAATAGCAGCACCTGCCTCTGAGTATAAAACCTTTTAAGAGTCTGTTTTTCTGCTCTATTTACATTGCAGTGTCCATATAAACTGTAAAACTCCCTGCATAATTATAATAAAGCAATTTATTTGCATGAAACAAGTGGAGCAATATGGCAATTGCCATACTGCTACACTTGTGAAAGTAAAATCTGTTGGGCTCTTTTTGGCATCAAGACAATTATTCTTATTGCCACATTGCCAGACAGGACACTGTTTAAAAATAATAAAAATAAGTGTCTGTGCACAAACTGTGCAGCACAGTTACCGCAGACAAGGCAGACCAGAGTCGCTGTGTGGAGCTCCAGAGCTGCAGACATGAGTTACAGTAGCTGGATAAAGGCAGGAAAGGGGCAACCTTCTGTTATAACACCGAGTAAAGCTCCTTTTGTGGCAAGATACAGCTGAGAGGAAGATGTTCAAATTAAAAGACACTGCAGGGTTCTTGTTTTTAAGTTTACACACTTTTATGTCTGAAGACCAACAGAGTTAAGATTGTTCTTTTATCATTATGGTAATAAAATTCATGTAGAATTTATAGAAAAAGGGTTAAATTAATTATCTGAAAATAAGTATAGAGTATCCTTCAAGGCAATTAGAAGATTATACTAAAACTGTTTTATTATTTTCTACAGCAGATCAACAGCATCTGAAGGTCATACCGGATCCATTAATGTCAGCTCTTATGCATTTAGAGTTAAAACATGTTTTATCTGTTAAACTGTTCAAATTCGTATTTCTTCATTCATAAGAAACGGTCATAGATGACTGCATCTCTCTGTAAGATTGGACTGAATAGAAAATACATTTATGCAGGTACTTTGAGAGAAAAAGGGCTGTAAGGTAGGCTTAATATAAATTAATATAAATTAACTAAAAAATGCTATTTTAAAAAATGTTAAATACTAAAGTAGAGTAAAAGCCAACAAAGCAGGAAAATAGGTTGATAAAAAAAAAAAAAGGAAATTCAGATCCCATTAGGATCAACTGATTAAGACCCCTTTGAGATATAAAGTATGACATTTAAATGATGGGGTACCAACTTTAGCGAGTACCACATCAGAAATAATGTCCAGTGTAAAATTCTGACATAACGTTACATATGAAAGCATAGGAGCTATTAAAGCATCCTGAATTATAGCTATGTAAAAAATAAAATCCTTTTACTTTTCATATTTAACTGAACTAAAGCCAAACTGAAATAAATAGATTTACTGATGATATTTTAATTTACTGAGAGTCACGACTGTATCATTGCATGTTTTACAAAATAAAGTGGGATCATTTTTAGTATTCATGTGTAGAAATGTTTAAGGAAAAGGATTTCTGTGCATTTCTGTGCAAAAAAAATTTTTTTTTTTTTTTTAGACAAAAAACAAAACAACCATCCAGATGAAAAAAGACAAAGAAAAGTCCCAACCTGATGGCTGAGCTGCTCGTAGCGGGAATTGAAGGCCTCGAGTTTTTCACTGATGAGTTCATCAAGTATGCCTCCGTCTATCAACGTCTGACCCAGCTCTCTGATCTGCGTCCGGTTGTCTCCGGGGTGGCGAAGGACGCCCTCCAAAGACTGTCGGGACGTTGGTGAGACGGAGAGATGTGTGAGCAGCAGGAAGAAAGCAAAAACATACATTTAATCATAAAAGACAAAAAGAAAAATTGTTCCAAAACTTGGCACAAAAACTGACCAAAGCCTGTCATCAATCTAAAAAGAACCGCAGGGTCAGACAAAATCTGTTGATGGAGGAAAAAGAAAAAAACGATAACAGCGACAACAAAAAAGGAGAGAAATAAAAAAAAAAACTGCGGAAGATGTGGAACCTGCTGGGTTTGTCAAACAGAAGCAAACCCCCGAAAAACAGAACAATAAGAGGCAGAGAAAGGAGTCATAAGAAAGAGACTGAGCTTCTTGAGTGACGAGACGTTTGGATCCAGCATCGTTTATGCAGGTTCATTAAATATGCTTTTCCTTCCCGGAGGTAATGGACAGAGAGTGATGGCCCCCTCCCATCAGACTGGGCCAAGTTAAATTAAAAAATATAAACTGGGAGTACAAGAAGGACAGAGAGAGAGAAAAATATAGATAGATAGAAGGAGAGATTATCGGGAGAGAAAGAAATAAGCTCAAAAATGAGCCTTAAACAATTGATGCGAAGGACATGGACAAGAAGGGGAAACATTGACTTCAAGGGTCTTCAGTTGATTTCATCACAATGTGAAGCTACAGAGGCAGCGCCATGATGAGACCCATTCTGACAGAAATGCTGCAGGCCATCTACAGATATAGCAGCAGAGCAAGTCAACGCAAAAGAAATTTGGAAGGCAAATCAAAGACAAATGAGGTTATTAACATTTCATTTTGCCTATAATGAAATTATTCATCACTTAAAGGCAATTTTTTTTCTCTTCAGTGGAACTAAAATATATAACCTTCTTAAACTAAGGTGAAAATATGATCTAACCTACATTTTTTATAAATTAAAATTATTTTAATAGAGCTGAAATGATACCTGACAATACTTGTAAATAAAATTGAATTTTATATGAAAAAAGGAAAAATCTGAACATGATCATCTGTTGTTTTACCAATCAAGAAGCTGCTTTGAACAACTTGTCTTTACAGCAGAGTCAGACACATTTAATCTTCTTCCAGATTGTCTCAAATACTTTGCACTTCTTTACTCTGATTTTACTCCAAATTCAGCAAAACGCCAAGGCTGTTCTTAGATAACCCATTTATCATGAAGTTTGAAGTGTAAGAGATTAAAGACAGCTCGCAATCTTCCCAGGCATCAGTATTTAAACAAGCTGTTTCTGTGGTTAGATGGAAAAAAACACTGAAAACTATTTAATAGATGTGGCTTTGTCAGAAAAATCTGCTTCTGTGCAAAAAGTTGAGACAAAAGCTGCAAACAAAGTGCATTTCTATCGACAGCCAAGTAAAGAATATGAACACACTGCAAAAACGATCTAGTAATAAGTCAAAATGCTTATTTCCCCTTAATTTGAGAAGGTAAATAACATGATCTGCCAACAGAATTAGTACAGTATGCTTACTCTTAAATTAAAATATGAACCTGAAACAAGACAATGCAATTGTTGTTTTTCTTAATTTAAATGTAAATCGTCTTGTTTCATTGGTATAGTGTCTCACTTACCTCCTCAATTCAAGAAAAAAATGTATTTAATTTAAGAAAAAATTACTTTTTTCCAGTGCAGGCATGGTGGATGGTGATTGTTTTTATTATTAAGAAACATCATGCCAAGCTTCAGCTTTACTTCAACATCTGTAAAATAAACCTCAACTCAACAGCTAAAGGTATGTGTATAATGACATATCGTAAATCAATACAAACAACCCGAGCAGGACAGATGTAAATCTGAAACTAAACGGCAGAAGACAGAATTCAACCATAAAAATCTTAGATGACCTTAGAAGAGATTACTAAAGTTCAGAGAACGGAAGCAGCAACGCAGAAAGTAATAGAGCAACATTTTTCTATTAGAGCAAAATAAAACATATGACCTCATCGGACATAAAAGCTGAGGAGGTCATACAGAAAATAACTTATTCTTAGTTTTTTTTATTTGTGGAACTCACAGCGCTTCAACAGTGTGGTGTAAAAGTAAAAAGTTATGTTTATTTAACAAATCATTTATGTATTTAGTCAAATTTAATTTATTTGCAAAAAAACATGCAAGTCTATTTAAATTGAATGAGTTCCATATTTATGAGGCGGCTGTTTTTACACAAAGCCCAGAGCCAAACAGAATGAGAAAACATATTTGGGAGAATTTCTGAAAATGAATATTCCATGTTAGCCTGAATGTTTCATAATTAAATAAATGCTGTCTATTGTTATCTTAATATTAAATGGAATAATGTTTATCCATCCTAATTAAGTAAATTCTTGCAAAGTGTATCAAGGCGACATAATTCAGTGTCTGCGTACCTCCAGAGCCTCGTTAACGATCTCTGTACTCTCTAGTACGTTCTCAGAAGCTTGCAGTTTCTCCTCTACAGTGTTGAGCCAGCTCTGCTCCATCTCCAGGTACTGAAGAAGCTCCATCCAACACGACCAAACCTCCTACAAAGTGCATGCAATTCGATTACCAAACTGATAAGCAATAATAAAAATGATAAATACCAGAGTTACATTCACCTTTACGGATAATATAAAGTCAAACTAGCTCTAAAATCCTCAATATTTAGCTAACAAACTCTCGTTTTAATGCATGTAAATGAAGCAAATTAAGCCCAAACCACGAGACATTTCATAACACTGTCATTACCATACTGAGCTGACCAACGGTTAATTAGGCCATGCTGCATAAATAATTGGAAAACAGTGTTTTAGAAGGTGAGCAACTTTTTGACTGAAAAAGGCAAATTTTTTGCTTCAACTTTCTGCCGGTTGACATATTTTTACCTCCAGTGTGTGACACTTGCTCTTGAGGCGGTCACACAGCTTTTGGTAGTTGGCAAGAACTCCATCCAACTCCGAGGTGAGCTCCTGTCCAGAACCTCCAGCAGTCTGGGACACCAACATGTTGATGTTGTCCTTCAGGATCTTCACTTTCACTTCTTTCTGTAGCACGTCCTCTTTAGCCCTCTTTAAGAGAAGATCACATGTGAGGACAGAGAACAAATTGCTAAAGTGCTCTTATGAAAAAAATATAAGGATTTCATATTTTTTCTGTAAATGCCTTCATCTCCTCCAGCGATGTCTCCAGGTCCTCAGGACTTTTATACTCAAAGTCTCTCATTAGAAACTCTTCGTCGACCTGGGTCATCCATTCCTGCATCTCTGCCAGGTCTTTCTTCAGATTCATCTGCTTCTCTTGGTTCTCAGTCACATTTTCTTGATGTCTCAAGAGCTGCACAGGAACATATCAAAAAGTTGCACTCAGTTTTTAACCATTCATCATCAAAGTCACATTTGACCACACTGTAAAGTCAAATGTGTTCTGCAGGGTCACCTATGTCTCAAAGATAAGTGTAATATCTTCCTATTGGGTGCTTTATGTTAGCTTGTTTTTTTTAACTTACCTTTTACAGTACGTAAGTAAAAAAAAGTTTTAAAAAATGAAGTTCCTGTATCGGCATTAATGTTTTTAGGGTTATGTTTTATCAAAATATGCGTTTGTTCTTTTATTCCTGTCTGTGTTTCACAAATTTCTTATAGAAGCTCTAGTTGGATTTTCTTTTGGTTATAATTTTGGTAATTTTTTATACCACATCTTTTTTTACTTACACTTAACTTTCTATTATTATTATTATTATTATTATTATTATTATTATTATCTTACTATTTTCTTGCATATAGCCAGTTTCCGTAGCAATGATTCTTGATGACTTGCCCAGATGGCTCACACTGGTAGGGCTGAAGGGAGTTTTCCTCTCCATTGTCATTGCATGCTTGCTTGGTGTGAGGGATTGCAGAGTCATTGACTCGATGCAATGAACTGGTTTTCCTTAGATAGAAAACTTCGAATTTGACTGTATGATCTGGTTTAATTGTAAAGTGCCAAGAGATGACATGTGTTGTAAATTGGCGCTACATAAATAAACTGAATTGAATTGAACTGCCCCTTCTGTGGATGGGTGAATACAAACTTAGGAATTACAAAACTCCATCTGAATTAGTGTTACGCAACATTTTTGTTCCGACTTTTTAAAAGATGATATCCTAAGTAATCACAGCTCAAATTTAAATTTCAATAAATGTGCAATACATCAAACTTTTATGACCCAGAAACATAACCTTCCATTTTTTGTGAATTATTGAAAAAGTTAATTTGTCTAATATTTGATTTTCTGACATGTATGATGGTATGTCAGACAGCCAAAAAAAAAAAAAAAACATTTCAAAATATTACTTTAATCTGATGAGAATATATTCACATCCGAAAATAAATTGTGAAAATAAAAAACACATAAAAATAACTAATCAGGTACTTTTTCAATGGAAATTTGCAGGTTTAGTTTATTTGTCACCTCTTGACTAAGTTTGGTCCATCTTCCTTCACACTGGTCCAACTTATCCTGCCCCCACAGGGCCAGTCCTGGGACTGCCGATGCCTGCACAGACTTTACATTTTCTTCCATCTGCATTAGTGAACGTTTCATCTGCTCCATCTCACTCACATACTCCTAGTTCAGAGAAAAGAAAAGGGTTTACAGAGATGTCTATAAACAAATTATCCATGAATAGATTGGGCAAAAACAGCCTTTGCTTAACAATATTAGTGTTTTTTGTTTTACAGTGTGTGCCCTCATAATGGTGTCAAGTTCCTTCTATACATCTACTGACCAGTAAGGCTAGAAATATACATTGTTTAAACAAATGGACAGAAACTGACAATAGATCCTAGTTTGATAAATCAGTTGTAAAAATCAAAAGGAAATTGTTTATTCTATTTATTATCTATATACCTTGCACTGATTAAGTTCTGCCTGCAGATTCTCTGCATCACCCAGGCCGGAGGCGTCCTTAGACAACAGCTCCTGCACGGCATCCAGCCAACGCTCCACTTGCTCTAAACGTACCTGAAATCAAAGAGGTAAAAACACATCTATACATGGAGAAAAAAATAAAAACACCAAGAGCAATAAACCAGCTTATCTACCTGGTTGTCCTTCATGCTTCCCAGAATGCACTGCAGCATGCCATGCTCCTCACGAGCCCTTGATGAGAGCTGGCTCCATTTCTGTAGTTCAGCCGGATCGGTTGCTTGTTGTGTTTGTTCAATTTCCAAACACAGGCCCTGAAAAATGAACAAAAGATCAGTCAGGACATTTAAAAATGGTTCCAAAACTAGAAAAAATGCTGAATGGATGGCGTTCCTGCTTGTTTTCATGAGAAATACATAACTTTTGATATTCCTAAGATCTTAAACATTTATTCAATATATAAAACACTAAAGACCATCATAAATCTATGGCAGATATTTCTACAATTGGTATAAGTAAGTAAGTAAGTAAGGAAGTCTTCAAGTTAAACTACTATTATATGCTCTAACTGGATTTTTTTCCGCCCTAATTCAAACCAGGATTTACAACCCTTCTTTAATCAATTTTTCCAAGTTAAAAGATATTCATAATACTCTTCTAAATATAGCAGTTCTAAAAATAAAGGTAGTAAAAGACAGAATTTCTCAAATATTTATCTGCTTTATCGGAAATAATGCTATAAGTGATTACATTCTTAGATTCCTTAATCACTAAACTCACGTCTTTGTTCTTCCTGCAATTTTATTTGGTGTGAAATAGATTTATGAGCCTAGATTTTCAACGTATTGTAAAAACTGACTCATAAAATCTGAAAGCCATGATTTAAAAAATGTCACAAAAGGAAAAACAAACGTGTTTAATTTTCAGTAATTGTTTTAGAAATGCTTTATTAACAACACGTGTAGAAACAAATGTGAATTAAAAAAAAAAAAAGTTCTAATAATCATTGACATCTCCTCTCAGACGAACAGCTGAATGATCTCTGGGATGCTGTCATTAGCCTGTATGTTGCGTCTGGCAGGCTCCACATGGAGCTGTGTGCTTCATGCACAGGCACGCAGCCCAGAATGTGTCACCTTCCCACCCCTCCCCACCTCTCCCATGCACGCCGTCCTATCTGCCACAACAACAAGAGTGCAGACTGAGCCACATTCCACTGACAATGGAGGAGGAGACGAATGTTCAGAATGCAAAAACACACACATTACAAAACATATGTTTAAGTGAAAAAAAAGCAAAAGAGGCACGTTCACACACACACACCCTTTACCTGTTGCGCAATTTAAAACTGTGACAAGAAGACCTATTGTGTGAAGGTAACCACAGGACAGGCAAACAATGACGCTACAGTGATGTACTGGTTACTCAGAGTAAAACAAAACTGCAAAAAAATATCTGCAGATTTCAGTCATGTCAGCATATAAAACCTGCAAATCTGCAGCTTACTTGTTTATACATTCTATAACATAATCATTAGAAGAGAATAAAAAATAAATAAATAAATAAATAAAAAAACATGAAATTAAGAAAACAAAGATGCAATTTATTGTTTTCAACAAACTCTACATTTCAGCTTCATTATCGAGGGTACCCACCTGGGCTCGCTCCACTGCCCCTTCTGCTGTATGCATGTCTACGATCCCGTCTTTTAAAGCAGCCAACCTGGCCTCCAGACCCTGCACGGCATCCTGAGCCACCTGGGTGGCTTCAACACCGGCCAAGGCTGGAGAAAAATTAAAGGAAATCTAAGTTTTCAGAAGATTAACAGAGGGGGAAGAAATAAAACACAATACTGCCTTAAAATACTAACCCTTGTGTATAAGTTATTAAATAACCAGAGTTGTCCGTTTTGTATGATTTCCACTTTAAGGTTGGATGATGAATATTTAACATCACACGTCTTTCCGCACTTCCTGCTCTGCTACATAACTGTCTCCCCTGCCTCCTGTTTCATTGCCTGTTAATTACCAGGTGATTTAATGCTTCCATAATCGACCCGTGTTTACACAGAGAGGAAGGGAAAGTTAAAGCTAGAGAGGCCCCCACTAGAACCAGACTATCCTCAAGTGGAAACAAAATAGATTTACTAAAGACTGTGCCAAGAAAGCAGGCTTTAAAAGCTCAGAGGCACTGCAAACCACACACTTAAACAGACTTATGTTGAAGAGGGTATTCAGGTCTTCCCTTATGGGATAATATCTGGCTGAGATCAGCAAACGCTGGTTCAAGAATTCAAATACCGACTGATTTCCAGGACTGGTCTGTATCGAACTTTTATTTTCAGGTAGAAACGAGCCAAAAGACGTTTAAGTTATAATAGAATTCAGGCATGCCGTTGTAAATCAGTGAGTATCTAGAGACCATATATGGGCATGAGCTATTATTACCTCAGACCAGACGATAATTTATTTTAAAAAAGCCGATGTTAAATTTGCGTAGCTCCTGTGTGGCTGTAATGATGTTAGATATTATGAAATCTCTGGTTTAAGATCACAGATAAAGAAAAGATATTTGCTGTAATGAGGGATATTTATTTTGAAACAGAAGATCAAGAATGGCTTAAATCTGACTAATCTGTTCTTAAAAACTAACTGGCTTAGTGTTTGAAAGATTTTGGCCCTAAATGAAGTAACATTTTATCCTGTACTCATACTTGTTGCCTTACAATTATTCCGGACCGGATTTTGGCGCAGCAGTGTCAGCAGAGACTCCCAGACTTCCTTTTCTTTGACAAACCTTAGAAGGAAGCTCATTGAGGTCATGGTCCAGATTTTATGACCACAGGTGAGGGCAGAATTGTAGACCAACCGGTGGATTAAGAGCTTCACCTTTTGGCTCAGCTCTCTCTACACCTCAATAGACTGGTGCAGCATCCACATTACGACTGAAGCCGCACTGATTCCTCTCTCGATTTCTCCAATTCTGTCTTCACTTGTGAACAGGACCCCAAGATACTCAAACCCCTCTGACCTGAAGGGGACAAGCCACTTTTTTGAGGCTTGGGAACCAGGGCCTAGGACTTAGAGCAGCTGATCGTCATCATGTTGTAGGTTGTAGCAGGAGGGAGCCAGGAGAACCATATCCTCTACAAAAAGCATGCATGAAATCCGCTGGTACAAGACCCCTTTCATGTCCTTGGCTTGGCCTAGAAATCCGGTCCATACAGGTTGTGAACAGAATCGGAGACAACGGCAGCCCTGTCTGAGTCTAATTTAATGTCGACAATCTAGACTAAACTCCTCCTCCACTTGTACAGAGACTAGATGGCCCCTGGTAAAGGGCCACAGGCTCCACACTCCTGGACCGGCTTCCTCTACGCCATGCGATGCTGAGGAGGCATGTCGACCACATCAGCACCACTCCGTCCAAGACCTGCTGTACTCAGTAGATCTTATCCACCCCTGTAGCCCTGCCACAGCTGGAGTTTGTTTAAGCACCTCTTCGGTGTTGGTAATGAACACGGAAAAGGAAAACAGCTGTTGCTGTGGCAACAAAGCTGCACCATACTTACAAGGCTGTAGTTCTGTGGCAGTGGCAATAGGATTCAGGTCTAGACTTTTACTGAGCCATTCTAATAAACATGTCTGGTTTTTGATTAAATTAATCTTATCTCCATCTGTAATGTTAGTGAAGAACTGTTGCTCTTTTGTTTCAAGTGTTGTAGGTTTTTTTCCAGGGTAGTAGGGTGTTTAGCGCCATCCATCCTTATCCACTCTGACCGGCTTCCCCATCCCTGCTATATATTACAATCCCCCTCAGAATGATGCTGCCACTAACGCATTTCACTGTGGAATAGTGAACCACCCAGAGCTTTGGATGCAGCACAAAAGGTTTCATTTTTGTCTCATCCTCTGTTGAACAGGTAAAGCCTATAGCACAGGTGTCAAACTGGTTCCAGAAAGGGCCGTGTGGCTGCAGGTTTTCTTTCCAACCAAGCAATAGCACACCAGACTCCATCCATCTCATCAAGTCATCATGTTCAGATTGGACTCACTTGATGAGATGAATGGAGTCTGGTGTGCTGTTGCTTGGTTGGAAAAAAAAAAACCTGCAGCCACACAGCCCTTTCTGGAACCAGTTTGACACCCCTGGCCTATAGGGTTCCAGCTAGGCCATTATATCTATACCTTATTTATCAGCCAACTTCTGTTCTCTATGATCTTTATGCTGTTTGTTAATTGATGTTCTCAAACAAAGCAGGCTTTTACCAACTAATTTCATTTACAAGTATCAGAGCTGAGAAAGCTTACTGCGAATGAAGATCACACTTTTGTGAAGTTTTTCTTTTTTTTTAAACCACATAATTTTAGGATCACTCCACAGCAATGTGCTACTAAATGACCTATCAAAGTAAAAGGCTAAAGAGTAATACTACTACAGCAATGGACTGTGTAAAAGCAAGCATGTTGACCTTGATTCATTTCTTCTTCTTTGTTCTGCAGCTGCTGTAGCGTGGAGGACTGATGTGCAGAAACCACAACCAGGTTGTCTTTCAGAGAGGGCACCGCTCCAAGTGTTCCTGCCTCGGAGGACAGCTGCTCCAGTTGTGGACCGAAGGCAGAGACCTGAGCAAGACGGGCCTGGGGACACAACATGAAGGAGAACGTTCACAAAAGCCTTCAGCATCCAGACATGCATCACAGAGATTTGTCAGGAGTTTAGGAACAAATCAGCCAAAGGAAGAAACCACAGGAGTAATCGGACACTTGAACCTCAGTGGACTATTAATGTCTGCTCTACTCCAAGATCTCTCCAGATGAAGGAGCTCAGACAACAATCATAAAGGTGAGCCCAAGTTTCACCGTTTCTACTAAACAAAGATCCATAATTCAGCAAAGTGATTATAAAAAATGTAAGTGCAGACAGTGATTAGAATAACTTTTCAATTCAGGGTGTTTGTACAATACAAACTGCATCCTTTTTAGAGCAAATTCCCCATATTTCTTGGTTTCATTTAGAAAATGTTTGTAATGTTATTTCCAAATTTTAAGATGATTTATTGGCAGATGTTTTTAGCGGACTCAGGCTTTAAATGTAAACAAAAAGATCAAACCAAAGAATGGATGAATGGACAGTCGGACAGAAAGATGGATGGACAATATTTAAACAATAAGACAGGATCAGCTCTAGGAATACAAATCTTCCCCAGAACCTTCTTTCTTCTCATATCTTTTCAGATCCGGAGAATACTTAAATCCATGTCAGTGGCTCCATGACAAAAATGTAGGAGTTATTTTTTTTTATTTATTTATCATAAGTTTAAACTAGAATAATTTAAAAAATGTTAAGCTTTGTAGTTTACACTCTGTAAATTAAGTTCTACAGCACCTTGTACCTTTAGTAGATACATATTCTTAACAGACGATCAGCTGTAATGATCAACAATTTTTCCTTCAATGACAACCAATCTTTCCTGACTTTAGCTTTTTGGTTAAGGCAAAATGTTGAGGTAGCAGAGGTCACAGAAATGTTTACCATTCACCTCTGTCCATTTAATATCCCTCAAATGTATTTTGAGGAAAAAAGAAATTCCAAACTACAGTTAATCCTATATTTATATTATCCCGTATTTAGGAGCCAGTCTTCAGACTCTGAATGCAGTTTACTGCATAAGAGGGCTGCAACTAACAATTATTTTGCAAATTGTTTAATCTGTTAATTATTTTTCAGATTAATCGATTAATAATCAGACAGGCAAAGATTCCTTGAAGAAGACTATTTACACAATTAAACAAGGTGAAACAAACTTTTCCACTTAAGGAGTTCTGGATAGAGCATAGTGACAGAAATGTTTATTTTTTATTACAATTTTGATATAATTACTGCTCTAAGTGGGTCACTCTGTCAGCTAGATGCATGTTTTAGGGTCTCTATACTCCCCGTAAGGATTAATCGATTACTGCATTACTTGATGATCATTTCAATAATTGATTAATCACAATTAATTGTTTCAGCCCTAATGAATAACATGTGATCCTATGGGGCCCACACAGACACATGTCAGCTTGTTGTTGGCCTTCCTTTAAAACTAAATTAAGTTTCCTTCCTACC